ACGTACTATTCACAAAAGTCTGTCTTAATGGCAAATTCCTCAACCATAGCTGGTGGAAGAATTCTGAGAGTTGAAGTCCACAGGTCTTAAAGTTGCCAAGTTTGGAGAGACTCCTGCGCTAGTGTTCAGTGAGATTTTGTTTCTCATTTAGGCTGGGAAACCGGAATTGGGCTTTTGAGCATGATGGTTCTTGGCAAATGACAAATGTTTTAGTTGTATTTTGGCTCTGGTAATCCGTTCAGTATTCAGGGCTTTGCCTCAGCAATTCTGTGTTTTGTATTCATGTGGAGCACCCCAGATCTCAAGTTTCCTTAAAAAAAAAAAAAAGACTGAATGGTTGATGAATTGAAGCTGCTTTACTTTCTGTGCTGGTTTGGCCCACCTTGAATTTTCTTGTGTTTACCTGATGAGGTGTATGATTTTCTTCTTGTTACCCTTGTTGGTAAAAACAATATTTCCAGTAAAGAACTGAATCAGAAAGAGCGGGCCTGAATAAGGATATGTTCCTCTTTGAACATGTTTACAATGTGCAGCTGCCAATCAAAGTGTAGGGTGTTCCTGAAACAGTCTGCGGAAGGTCGGAGAGGTGGGTTTGCCACTGTAAGGAAGCAAGTGGTTCTTGAAACTGAGGGCTTCTGGAAATTGAAAGCTTTTTGTGGTCTGAGAATGGCCTTGTTCTGTTCTCAACTAAGATCTGTCCTTCATAGTTACTCATTAGGATCTGCCTTAGGTTTCCTCTGGTCACAGTGACAGCAGCTCCTAATGGCTCTAGATTATGAATGGGGGAATTTGTGGTCCCAGGCTCACTTTAAGCTACTTTGGATGACCCCCAGAGAGGGCTCGACTATCAAAATTTTGTCTGCCTCCAAAGGGGAAAAAAAATAGAAAACAAGGTGGCTGACTTACAACCTATGGTAATGCCCTCCTCCAATTACCCTGCTGAAATTCAGCAGCAAAGTACAGAAATTAGATCATTTGATTGTTCCTGTAAAAATATCAAAACAAAATACTCCAATAAGATTGGTAGGCCTATTTTGGTTTCAACTCCCCCCTCAAAAAGGCAGAAAGGGAGAGATTTGCTGCATCTTTCCAAGGTCACCACTTTGCCTTCAGAAGCTCAACATGGTGTATTTACTGTTTCCTACCATTCGTGTTGAGCAATATCCTTGTGGTCATCGCATAGCTGGCTGAACAAAATATGTGACCCAACAATTTGTAACTCTTTGTTTTCATCACAGTTGGATATTCAGATTCATACTCGGCTTACATAGCTGGTGTTCTTCTTCAAGAAGGTAGGCAGGAGCTACTGCAGTCAGGGCACTGTGCTTATATGTGCCTGTGAGAATGAACAAAAAGGAAAGGCACCTGCAGGCATGACGTACAACTTTATGTTTATTTTGCGCTGAACACATTACCATCAAGTGAGATGGCGGCTTTGTATCAGTCCATGAATAAGAAGGAAGTCAAGTGCTAGGCATATTTTGGGGACTACAATTCCTGCCAGGCCCACAATGCACAGCTAGAAGCAAAGGATTATGGGAGTGTTAGTCAATACCCTCTCGAGAGCACCAAACTGCTTTCGAGAGGGTAGATAAATCCACTGAGAACAGATCTGTGAGAAACTATTCCTTGTTAGGATGGAATTTTCATGTTTCAGAATAGCACGCCGCTCGTTGTGACTGATGGGTCAAATGTAAGAAGAGCCTCCCTGTGAATCTCCACATTTTCTATTTAATTGCCAAAAGATCTACCTGTGAGTCTGACCTAGCAAGGTGACACTAAACGTTTACTTGATATGATCCTCTTTGACATTAATTTTGGCTGCAAGAAGGCTGGACTATGTCAAGCAGGTTGACAGTAAGGCTGCAATCCTAGACACACTTGCCTGGAAAGATCACACTGGACATGCATGCATTTCTGATTGCAAAGCTGGAGAAAGAGAAGATCTTTCCCCTTCCCCATGAGACACTAAGCAATTCCAAGGGCCCGTTTATTTATTTATTTATCATATGGCAAAAGTGTTAACAAAGTACACCACAGTTACGCTCTCAATGAGCAAATATGAAACTATTTTACTCTCTTTACAAGTTCAGAAGTAGACTATGTAGTCAATAAATGATGGAGTTGCATGCAGAAAGTACCTGTCTCCAAAGCGAGACAGTTCGACGTGTCGAGGAACAGTGCCCTCTGAGCACATAACCAGGAGCCTAAATGTTGCAGGACAATACAGCAAAGTGGGTATGGCCAAGTTACACATTTGGGCAGAACAAGGATTTTCCATTGTTTTGCCAAGTGTTTGCAGGCCATGGTGTGATAGTCGTGGTGGTAGTCGTGGTATACTTTTCATGTGTTTTCAGGCCTCAGAGAAGCAGGATCCAGCATCATTGACTTTTGGCAACTATACCACTGACATTTTGAGATAGGATTAAATGTGTGTGTGTGTGTGAGAGAGAGAGAGAGAGACAGACAGACAGACAGACAGACAGACAGACAGAGACAGAAAGAGAGGGAGGGGGGAGGGAGAGGGGGGAGAGTGTTCAGGTACCATGTATGGCCCTGGGACTTCTCGTGTTCTAAATAAGTTCTGCTTATGTCTGAACCTTGTCCATTCATTTTAAAAATAAACATGGTAGAATACTTTTGCAAGTGCTACTTTGGATTTCATAAAAGCAACATCTTTCTACCACAGAGCATCCAGCCTTGAGTATGGTTAGGACAAAAGAGATCTGCTGGACTTAGATAAACTTACAACAAAGTGAGTTTAAAAACCAAAAACAGATCTTGTGACTCTTAGAGTAGGGTTACTGGGAGCAAAAGTGCTACTTTCTTGCTATGTAGGCTTTCTGGCTATTTGTTCTTCTGACCTACCATAGCCCTGGTCCAGAGCGTCTCAGGGTGAAGACAATTTCGTGATTTGGGGCTGGGTTAGAGAGCAGGAGCCAGGCATAGCATAGCAAAGAGATGAGATGGGAAAGTGAATCTAACTTAAAGCTTGAAAGATGATGCATGATTAAAACTGCTCTGGAGTTTTTCTAGTGTTGGCATCAGAGATGATATTCAGCAAGTTCTGACTAGTTCTGGTGAACCAGTAGCAGAAATTTTGAGTAGTTCAGAGAACCAGCAAATCCCACCTCTGACTGGAGATTTTACATTATCCTTCCCCTGCCATGCCCACCAAGCCACGCCCACAGAACCGGTAGTAAAAAAAATTGAATCCCACCACTGGTTGGCATCCTTGTGTCACTAATGAAAATTTGGATGGGAGGAGGGGGGAAGAACACACACATATTTTCCATTTCCATAAAACAGATATAGATTTTTGTGTGGAACTTAGGAAGAGGAGTTGGTGTTTTCTTTTCTTTCTTGCAAAGTATGGCTTCAGTTGTCGGGGTCAGAAAATCAGAAATAGGAACAAAAATGTCTTAATATTGAAAAATATTTTCAACAGCTAAAATCAGATTCCTTCAACCTGGTCTCTTCTCACTTCAGCAGAGCCCTGACTAATCTCTCTCCCTTCCATAATTAGGCCTAGTACTTGCATGCTCCTTTCCCCCCTGTTCAATCCTACCCACGCATCCTCTTGGTCTGGCACTTTTCCATTTTTGGGAAAAGCTCCATATCTCCATTGAGGATCCAACCTGCTTGATTTCTCCCCCAACCTCCTACAAGCTGGTTCTGCTCAGATGCTTGCGTTTTTTAATCCCCCCACCCCCACCCACCCCAGTTCCCTGACCAGATAACCGTGTTGGTTGGAGGATGGTTGAAATCCAACTGGAAAGTATCAACCTGTGGGAAGCCTGACTTAAGAAAAGCTGCCGATCGGTCTTGTTCAATGTCTCCTTGATCCACCTTTTTCTCAAGTGAACCAGACCTACTTCCCTTACAGAGCTGAATGCAGTTATGGGTTTATTTAGAAATCCATGATCCAACCAAATATCCTGCTTAAACCTTATCTTTTTTATTTTTTTCTTCCTTGCAATGATAAATGCACGCACTCATAGAGAGATGATATTTTTCATTGGCAGGTTATATCCATTGTTGAAGTAATAATTTGAAACGAATGACTGTATGAATCAATATGCATCCTTGCTAAAGTCAGCCTAGCGGGGTGTTAGGTAGAAAGCCATTGGTCTACAGCAGGGCTGTCAAACTCCCAGCATATGGGTCAGATGCATCACGTGCTGGCCATGCCCCCTGGTTTAGCGAAGGAGGGGAAAGTCCCGATATATCACATCACGCCACCGTGACAATGTGAGTTTGACACCCCTGGTCTACAGTATTCACTTAAATAGTGTTGTGGTTTCCCTCCCCACCTCTCAGCCTTCATCTCAGGAAATAAACTTATTTTGATCATAGGCATCCATGCACAATATGGTACCATGGCAAATGTGAGCTTACATCTTCAAAATATGAGTATGTGAAGAGAAGAGAAAGCTACTCTACTGATCAAGTAAATCCTATTATAAGAGCTGCCTAATAGATGTCGATAGTTTGCAAGATAATAATATCATATATTTCACATATACACATACTGCATTTGAGTATGGAACTTTCCAATCTTGCAATGGGTCAAAGACACTTTAAAGAAAGGAAGCTTGAAAAGGAAGAAGATAGATGCTTGGGTAAGGCTTTCATTTTGGGCAGAGGTTGAGTAGAATACCTCTCCTTAGGGCCAGCCTACTGTTAGGTAGAATGAGACAGGTGCTCCAAGCAACAAATTCTGGAAGACAGCAAAAGAGTGTTGGGTTTCAGAGCTGTAAATCACAGAGTCTTGTGTTCCTCAGCCAGCCCGTGGTTTTCAGATGCAAGGAGATATGTCCTCCTATTTCTGGGTTGAAGGAGAATTCCTCCTGCAGTCCACTTGGCTTGTACACATGGAATGGGAGGGATGCTCCTTGTTCTTGTCTTAGGCAGTAAAATCTTTTGACAGGACAGCTGTGCAGTTTCATTTCCACTTGCTTGTCTTTTCTGGCCACCTACCCCCCTCTCCAACCCTGCAGGTGTTCAGAACCAAACATCTTCCAAGAAACCCAGGAACCGCAGCATCTTCCAATCCCTTTTTTGCTGCCTTTGCCATGACAACTCAGAGCCTATCCCTGTCAACAACAATGCCCCACTGCTGGTGGAAGAAAACGGTTCGGTGACCAAGGTATGTTGAACTGTCTCTTTGATTCCTGGGATATATATATTTTTTGGTCATCAAGGGTCTTACAGGATGGAACCAGTCTCTTTGGTGCTCCTGAGAACAAGAGATCCATTTGTCGGAAGGAGTTCATACCCCAACCCATGACTTTCCAGATATGTGGGATTGAAACATCGTCCTCCTAGCAAGCAAAAGAAATGATTGTGCACCATTGGGACTGATGACTATTGTAGTCCAAACCATCCAATAGATGCTATGTTGGGAAAGGATATGTTAGGTTTCAGGAAAAGACTGTTGTCCACACCCTTCTTTCAGTTCATGATATTTCTACCCATTGAGAATTCTCAGGCCAAGTTTAGCTCCAGGTAAAATTCCCAAGCTCCTTGGTCAAGTGATAACATCTTCAAAACAGTAAGACTCCAGGCTCTAGGTTGGAGAAGGTGTAAAAACTTTAATGGATGTCATCAGGTGACATTAAGCTCTGGGAACCAGAAAACAGCTTGAGAAATTAGAATACCCATTGCAGACCATTTACTATGCATTAATCACCCTCCACAATGCTTTAATTTCTTTCTTAAACTTGGATAAGGAGAATTGGTTACATTCCACATAGATGGCACATCTGCCATGCAACCCAGAGATCTTTGAAATGCATTTGGCTGCAGCTCTCGTCACATGAGCCCTTGTTGCTTAGCTGCCAATAGATAATGTCAGGTGACAAGCTTGAGGGGATGGGCAAAAAGAGGCATGGCTGTCTTGCCTAGCATTTCTCTGATGTCTAAGCTGCAAAGATAGCAATCTAGTTAGAGATTGGGTTGCGTCTATATTTGAAAGACCACTCCGTAATAGAACAAGTACCCAAGTGGTATTTGCACTGGACTACACAAAAATCAAACATTAGCAACTTAGGCTGTCCACTCACTAATATTTAAGAAAAAGATTAGGACCTTATTAAGAGCCTTTTATATTTCTGGCATCACTCAAGATTTGTAGCTTGTTGCCTATAGGGGCTGGGCCAGAGGTGGTATTCAGTAGGTTCTGACCAGTTCTGGAGAACCAATAGTGGAAATTTTGAGTAGATTGAAGAACCTGCAAATCCCACCTCTGACTGGATATTTTACAGTATCCTTTCCTTGCCACGCCCACCAAGCCATGCCCACAGAACCGGTAGTAAAAAAATGTGAATCCCACTGCTGGGCTGGGCGGCCAGGACAATAACACACCCTTTAACCGATAGATTTTTTTTTAATAAAAAAAACAATGATGAAAGAAGCTAAGCTTGGTGCTAATGTATGAATTTTCTAGTTAATTTTGGGAGGTCACCAGAGCCTTTAATTATTCAGAGCTCCTGAGGTACCAACTCCCTTTAAATGCGACCCCAAGCTGATTCGTTTTTTTAGATCACCTGAGCCTTGATATACTAGTGCCCTCTTTTGCCCAGTTGTATAACTGCTAATGCTTAGGCTTGGCTTCCAAACTTCTTCCCCCTGTTTTCAATTGTAAAGCACCCCATTGCAGCTACTTTATCTTCCCAGCCTATATTTTATAGTTATGGAATCATAAAATAGGGAATGGGTGATAGATGGAGGGAGGGAGGGAGGCAGGGAGGGAGGGAGAGAGGGGGGAGGGAGAGAGGGAGGCAGGGAGGGAGAGAGATTCATTTATTCTAATCCTCAGTTTTCCTATCTTGGGTGCTGGCTATCCTTTTGTCTAATATTGTTCTATAGAGGACTGAGGGCAGAGTTTTTGATGCCTGCCAAATATTCCTTGATGCTAATATGGGGAAGCAAACTAAAAGAAGACAGCATCCACTTTTCACAAAACACACGGAGGACCTCTGATTGTAGAGCATTCATGCTCTTTACAGGTTAATTCCCATTGTCCCTCATGCCAGGTGTCAGAGGTTGAAATTCCTTGCTTCCATGTCTTTTTAAAATCCAGATGTTTAATCATATGCATACCTGTCTCTCTGTCTTTCTCACCCTGCAGAGCACAGTGAAATACCTGTTGCCAGAAATCAAACCCCAAGATGCCAGTAAAATCTGTGTGGTGATTGACTTGGATGAGACATTAGTACATAGTTCCTTTAAGGTCAGTTCTTACATACTTACCTCTCTTCTTTCTTTCTTTCTTTCTTTCTTTCTTTCTTTCTTTCTTTCTTTCTTTCTTTCTTTCTTCCTTCCTTCCTTCCTTCCTTCCTTCCTTCCTTCCTACCTTCCTTTCTTCTTCTTCTTCTTCTTCTTCTTCTTCTTCTTCTTCTTCTTCTTCTTCTTCTTCTTCTTCTACTACTACTACTACTACTACTACTACTACTACTACTATTACTACTAGTACTACTGTTACTACTACTTCTCCTTCTCCTCTTCCTCTGCTGATTTTTATTCGAGGCAGTTCTATTAAGTGAGATTTTTAACAGCTATATTTTTAAACTTTCTACATCAGAGCAGCTTTCCCCAAACTTACTCCTTCCAAACTATTGGAGTGGATGAAGGAAGGATATACATGGTTATTTGTTGGCAGAGCAAAAATAGAAGCTGATCTTGTTTCAGAAACCCAGGAAGTGTTTCCAACATAACTTTTTCAAAACCAGGGAGATGGGTAGTAGGAAGAAGTCTTTCAGAAGGTGTGATTTACCTTGTGCTTCCTTCCTCCTCTGTAGCCGGTGAACAATGCAGATTTCATCATCCCAGTGGAGATTGACGGGGTCATGCACCAGGTATGGAATCTATGCTGGGAAATGGGAGAAGAGAGATTGTGGCCAGTCTGGATGGTCCTAGCATGGCAGACAAATTTCACATTAAATCTAAATTGGTAATGGTTGCTATGGGATACCCCTTGAGAGCAGCATGAGGAGAAAGGTCCATCTGATAGTACAGCATCTGTTTCTGTGAGAAGATCTTCTACTCAACCCTAGCATGTCTAGATCAGTTAAGAAGAACATATCTGATCATTAGACCATGTGAACCCCAATGGCCTGATTCAACATACGGAAATCTCCTCTCTACTCCTAAACACCGGTCAGGCTGAGCTGTGATGGAGCTGAGGTTGAAACCCAAAACCTCCATATATATCATGATTGCTATTCCCAATTACAAAGGCTGCGGCTAGGTTCAAGTAATCCAGGATAGGCTGTAGGTACTGCAACCAGCCTGTTCTCGATTACTTGGCCTTGGAGGCAGCCAGCAGCATCAATCACAGTGGACATGACAGTTATACGTGCTCACTTTCAAAAAGGAATCAACGGCCCAGCATGCCTTGAACAGTTCTCAGATGAGATTGCCCAGTGGCATCATTCCGTACCTTGGAGTTTGAACCCTTTCAGATGGATGTTGTGTGCTACATGTTGAAATGTGGGGGAGCTTCTTGCTTTGATTCGTTGTGCAAAAGGTGCAAGCTATCTTTTCCCAGCCTTTCTTGGAATTGTGGAGGATCTTCAAGGTGGAAGATACCTCCATCTCTATCTCTGTGTTTGGTAAAAATCCAATAAGTAAAATCAGAGCAGGTACCAGAGAAGAACCACATCTAGAAGTACCTTGGCTTCATAGGTCAGTTAGAGGCTTTTGAGGTTGGGGACCATACATCTTCAGTATTCTTCAGGGTGTCAGCCCTTTGAGGTAAACCAGGCTTGAACACCAAAATCACGAATAATAAGAATGAACTTTTATTATAGGGTCACAGTAACAGAATCATACAACTCTGAATGTGCCTCTCCCATCCCTGCCTTTATCCTAAAGAGAACTAGGGAGGGTGCAATCTGAAATGCTTTCTCAAATTCCACCCCTGAGTTAAAGATTTCTCTTATTCGACTATTGCCTTGGCTACAGTTCTTCCTCCTGTTCTTCAAGGTTACTCTCACAGCCATTACACAGAGTGAAGTGTGGCAGGTGAAGTTCTGGGCTACTGCTACGAGAGGAGGATCATCCACACGTCCCCTCTTTTAACCCAGCATTGCCATTCTCGTGCTGTTTTTTATCTTCTGTACGAAACCTTGGGTAGATATCATTGGTCAGTTTGCAGTGAGGTATCTTCAGCATCCTCATGACCCTCGACAGCACATTGTCCTCTCTGCTGCGACAGAGCTGCTGGAAAGCCCTAGCCCAGTGTGTGTGTGTGTCAGGGGCGGGGGAGTGTTGAGGATCTGGATAGTAGGCAGAAGCTGAAAGTAAATTCTAAATTCCAGCAAGCTGGAGCTTCTAAAACAGTTTTGTGATTAGCTTTGATTAGGATTGCCCTCCCTCACTTGAAAAGGTCTGGAGCTTGGTGGTCTTGCTAGACTCATGGCTTCTGCTGGACTGAGTATCATCCCTTCGAGGAAGGCCAGGTCAGGAAACAAGACCCAGCAAGAACTCATGGAACTCTATTTTATTCTTATACGGGCATAAGAACAGAATCTTAAAACCCTTCCCTCTTCCCTCTCTTTTACTAAATCAAGGTGAGTTTATTATGGGCCTCTTTCTCTGGCTTTTCTCAGGCTGAGGTGTCATTTATTAGCTTTTTAATCTGCTAAGGGATCTTGCATTCTTTATTATCTCTGCCCTTCTCTCCCCAGAGGCCCTGTTTATCCAGGAGCAATCAGTTCCAGTGATAATTCTGAATATGATCCTGTGTAGAACACCACAGAAAATGTCTCTTGCTTGGGTTTCTCCAGGACTCACGTCTCCTGCTGGAGCAGTGGGTGGAGGTCATGGCCAGGGGACTTTTACCCAGCTAAGCTGGTACATTTGCAACCTTTACCTGGCAGTTGTGACTCATGCTCTTGGCAAGATATTTTCAGAGCACAGCAACAGGTTTTATTGGGGGCCGCTTTTGAAGATGGCTTGCAAACTGGAGTTGGTACTGATCCTAGTGGCCAGCCTGCTAACAGGGGGACATGCTACTGTGGTGTTCCACCAATTCTTTGATAGCTTTTGAGCCCAATTCAAAGATCTGCTTATAACCTATATAAAGTCCTACAGTATAAGGAGCAGTTCCAGTTTGCTGTAGGGGCTGCCTCCTCCAAATGGCATCTACCCATTCTGTGTGGTCTTTTAGGGGAGGAGACGCTTAGGATCCCCACCCCTTGTGATGGAAGGGGACATGAACTGAAAGAAAACCATCTTCAGGATGACCCCAATTGACAGGAACACCTGGTTGCTGGACATGCACCTACTCTCTCTGTTGTTGGTTTTCCATTAGGCAGGGAAATTCATTTCATTTGTAGGGGGAGGTATTCAACTTTTAGTGATTCAGACCTCTTGTTTAGTTGATATTTTATTCTGATCAGGTTTTATTGCTTGGGCCAGTTTTGTGGCTGTTCCTATATGCAGTGCTTTATTGAATGTTTTGATATTTTATTCTATTGCTGTTATCAACCACCCAGAGTCTTAGAAGAAAGGCAGAATATACATATGCGTGATACATAAATAAATAAATAGCCTATTTTCTGGGCAACCAGTTTTGCCATCTAGTCTTCAGGTGGGCTTATTCTGATGCTAAGCACTGCCTTCTTTTAGAAAGGAACTGGGTCCATTGGTTTGTTGGCCAAGTAAGTAGATGTAGAGCCCCCATCTTCAACTTGTTCCATGATCCCCTTCCATGATTTCTCTTACTCTCACCAGGTGTATGTACTGAAGCGACCCCATGTGGATGAGTTTCTGAGGCGGATGGGTGAGCTCTTTGAGTGTGTACTCTTCACTGCTAGCCTGGCAAAGGTATGATTCTCTTCTTTTGCCTATCGTCCTGTTTTCTTATGAAGTATTCAAAGTAATGGCCTTCAGTTTGGAGAAAGTTAGCCAACAGAAAGAGAGAGTTTAAGAAGATGCTCATGACAACCTTTTTGGCCAGTTAACTTCCTGATCCATTCTAAACTCAGAATTAATCCAGAAATTCTGGTCCCCAGAAATCCATCTTCCCTCTTGCAAGCTGCAGTAGAAAGCTACTCCCACTGATCTGAAATAAGATTCTGTGCTTTGGGTTTCTTCACCCCAGGATTTCTGTAACATTTTGTTCGATGAAAAATTCCGAAATATTTCAAAGTTGAGACATTCTTTTGTACCATTTTCCTTGATCCTAAAAAAGCAAATGTACTACAAGTAGACCTTGACTTAGAATCACAATTGGACTGGAATGTCTGTTGCTAAGCAAGGCATTTGTTAAGGAAGTCGCATCAGATTTTATGACCTTTTTGCCGCAGTTGCTAAGTCAATCAAAGCAGTGGTTCAGTGAAATGTGGTCATTGAGTAAATCCAGATTCCCCCATTGACTTTGCTTGCTGGAAGTCAGCTGAGAATGATGATCATATAACCCTGGGATGCTACAACAGTTGTAAATTGATGGTGTCCCAAAGGTGCTTTTTCAAGAGGCAAGTGGACTTTCTGATTTTTCTCTGAAGACGTTTCACTTCTCATCCAAGAAGCTTTTTTAGCTCTGGCTGGATGGTGAGGAATGGAAGGATTTATACTCCTTGCAGAAAGCTGGTCATTTGCATTCTTTTAGCAAGTCGTTAAGGTCACCTGGAAATATCTATCTCTTCAGGGTCACCTGAGTGGTGCACATGAGTGTGGAGCCTTCTTGGAACGGTTGAAAGGACTGTATTATAGACTGGAGATAGACAGTGTTGTATCCCTCCCCCTTTGTTGAGAGGGGGCTGTTCAACTTTGACATAGTTGGCCTTTTTGACCCCTCTTTCAAACCAGCGGTCCCCTCTATCCAAAATGTGGACTTTGCTGTCTTCAAAAGAGAGGACTTTGTCTTTTAAATGCAACCATGACCTGTATAACTAAGAATCTCCATAGACGTAAACACACAGCGGTAGCCAAGCACCCAAAATTTGATCAGGTGACAGTGGGGAAGCTGCGATGGCCGTAAATGCAAGGACCAGTTGTAAGTCAGTTTTTCCAGTGCCGTTGTAATTTTGAAAGGTCACTAAATGAATGATTGCAAGCTGAGGACTACCTGTACTGTAGATGTTGGGTTTTTCCTCTGTCTTTTGCAACTAAAAGGCAATCTGGACGAAGTCCTCAGTAGAAGTCAACTTTAATTAACAATTAGTTGGAAAAGCCAGGCCTCTTTTGGAGAAAGAGTTTATTAATCTTGATTTCCAATTTAGCCCTGAGGAATACAAAACTTTCAGGCTTTTGGCAGGAAATAAACCAATAGGAATAAATAGTGTATCCTAATGCTACACACACACACACACACACACACACACACACACACACACACACTCTTCCCATTAGAATGTCTGGAGAATCTAGTCAAACTGGTTTCCCTTAACTCCTGTTGGTCCTCCAATTTTAGTATGCCGATCCGGTGGCTGATCTATTGGACAAGTGGGGAGCCTTTCGTGCTCGGCTCTTTCGTGAGTCCTGTGTCTTCCACCGGGGCAATTATGTCAAGGACCTCAGCCGCCTGGGACGCGATCTGACACGGATCATCATTGTAGACAATTCACCGGCCTCTTACGTCTTCCACCCTGATAATGCTGTAAGTAGAGGAGGGAGCTAGCAACTTTCTAAATTGAGGGGGTTGGGGAGGCAACCATATCAATTTGGAAGCCTTGCCCTCTGCAGTGTCTCTTGAACAGACCTGAAAATATATGCCTGAAGAAGAGAGGACATGGGGATAACTTTCTACTTGGTACTTGGGCCCCAAAGGGTCTTTTTCTTAATACCATTGCATTGTGCAGATGTGTTTTTTTCTTTTTCAATTGAAAGCTAAATAGTAGAGCGACACCATATGCAATCCATAGCACCACATAAAGAAGCGTGCTTACATAAAATAGCTGCTCCTGGTAGCTTTTACTTGAATTACCAGTAGCCACCAATGCAGTAACCCCTTACTTTTTTTTCACCCCCGGCAGGTGCCTGTGGCTTCATGGTTTGACAACATGGCTGACACGGAGCTGCTTGACTTGCTGCCTTTCTTTGAAAGACTCAGTAAAGTAGATGATGTATATACCGTGCTAAAGCAGCACCGGACTACTAGCTAGTGACCAATGGAGGGGGCAGGGCTTTGGGCAGGGGAAGTCGGAGGGGTAGGTGTGCCCATTTTGGCTACTTCCTTCTGCTGAGCAGGATGGCCTGCTCCCTCGGCCTCGACAAGCAACGCAGTGCCCAGGAAACCCTGCAGGAGGCAGCAGAGAGCAATTATTCCCATGAGGCACTAGAAGAAACTTCAGCATCTGAATGTGATCTTGAACCCCAGGAAGGAAACCTCCTTGCTGCTATGGTTCAGAGTTTCTCCCCTTGAATTATGGGTTGCAGAAACCAGGACCTCAGCCCCTTTCCTCTCCACATACACACAAAACATCAAATGTAACCAAAGCTATGATCTAGCTATGGTCCTTTCCCTCCTAATCAGAACAGTTCTCCACTCGTTTGCCACCATCTTGGGGGCAGATACACAAATCTCTTTCCCAGGTATTCACTGCACTTCATTGTTGTATCTGTGCATATATCTCCATTGTCCCAACTTCAGGAAAAGTGATTTCTAAAATCACTGATCGGCTAGGAAGAGCCCAGATTGAAAACATTCAAGAAAAGGTGGAGAAGAAAAGCTAAAAAGAACAAACAGAACTAAAGTGGTGTGGATGGAGCAGGGATACAGAAAACTGATAGAAAGATGTGAGGAGGGGGTTGACTTTTTTAGTGGACTCAGCTCCACCCTTAAAGGAGAAAATGTTTCTGCTTCATCAAAAGGCTTAAAATTTAAGCCGAGTCTTTCACAAAGGGGCTGTGGACCGTGTATAATAACTATTACACATAAGCTATCTCTTGGGACTAATAGTGAGGTCAGTTTTGTCTTTTGCTCCTCTTGGAAATACCTCCCCCCTCCCCTTGTGGGAAAATTCCTAAATTTCCAAACACAGTGAGGGGAGAAGAGAGAGATTGGAAGAATTCCCAGTTTTAATCATTTCCCCCCTCCTGTAAATTAGATAATAGAAGGGTTGGAGATGTTTCGTAAGGAGGAGAGGGGGGGAAATCAGGTTTGCTTCTTCCTGCTGAGACTTTGGGCGAATCAGCTATGTCACCTTTACTAGCAAGAAAATAAGACGAGTTGAGTCCCTATTTTTTTTAAAAAAAAAATCTCTGGAAATAGAACTCTCAGGCCACTTATGTGATTATATTGGGATAAGGTGGTTCATGATACAAACATTTGCTTAGGAAAGACTTGAGGTGGCATTGGAAGGCCGAGAAGGGTCTCCTTGAGATGTGAAATATGGCTGACAAGAAAGAAAATTCTATGGGAAAGAAAGGATAGTCAAGTTCTATAATTGAGAGAATCCAATATTAAAGAACAGAAGCTGGGAAGCCATGGTTCCATATGTTGCTGAAGAACATTCCTGGTTTCCTCAGCTGTTATGATATTGATGAAGGAGGCACAAGGGATCCTAAAGCAATAGCTGGAGAGCCACAGATCCCTCCCACAGCTTAGAGAAATGATTAATGATCCCGTCCTACAGTATTTACATTGAATGCTTTGGAATCTTCCTCTTTGCATCTTCTCCATATCGTGTGTCAGCCCTTCCTCCTTCCTCCTCCAGCCTTTAAGCCCTTTTTTGACACTGTCCTTTCAGTGATACAACATCAGTCAGAATTAGACTAAACAGAGAGATGGGATGTGGGAGGTGTATTCATTCCTTGACCACTGTGTGTGTGTGTGTTTTTTTTGTCTTGTGCTACAGTCGGTGCCTTCAAATCCCACTGCCTCCCTAGAAATCTGTAATCTTTCTGGATTTGCGGAGTATGTGGGGCAAACTGTGCCTTTTAGAATCAACAGACTTGCTGGGATAGCATGAGGAAGAGAAAGCAGAGGTCATGTGCCAAAAGGAGGTGTCTCCATTTCTGCTGCTTTGTCCACAGTGCTGGGGGGGAGGGGCGCGGTTTCCATAAGGTGATGCTTCAGCGAAACTAAGCTGACCCATCCCTGTGGTTCACAATGTTTTTTCCTAATTTTTTTCCAGTATCTTTGAAGCCTGTTTAATAGAAAATTTTGATACCAAACAAGAATTTTCTTGGAATTCTGCCTAGTTACTATTTCTGGTTATGGATTTGCCTTGGTTTCCTCTCCAGTGCCATCTTAAATTTGCCTTAAAATATTTTCGGGATGTAAGAATTCCTTGTGCCTTTGCCCATTTCTCTTTTTTATTATTATTAAGATGCCGTAGACCCCAAGAATCTTAACTCAGGCATAGGGTACTGCAGATCTTGGTTGCTCATTAGTAGCTCATTTTGAACTTCACTGCTGTCTTCTTCAACATGAAACAACAATTAAATTTACTGTTACAATGGACCAGAAATGGTTGATGTAGCTGATCACTGCTGGTCTACATCTGGCCAGACAGTTCTGATTAACATACTGCTCCCTCTGAATAAGAGTGACAGGATGTTTAGAAACCACAGCTGTCAGATCAGGTATGTTTGAAAATGATAATTAAATTCAGGTCATCTTTCAACAATGCAAACTGCAGATTCCTTGAACAGTAGATAAACATATTCCTTTTTTATTTTATTTTTATTCTCCCCCCCCCCCCCAAAAAAAAAAAGAACCATTAAAAAAACAGCATTGTTCTAACAATCTGAAGCGAGTGGAAGAAAGGAAATATAATGGACAGTCAAAGAAGAGAAGCTTTGTTTTTCCTTAAGACTACTGTCATCATCTTTTTTCCTTCCTTCTTCTTCTTATAGGTATGGCATCGATTGCTAGTACTGTATGGAAAGACCGTGTAGGTCTAAGGTCTTTAGCAGTCCTTGAGAAATTGAACCTGGCGATTTTCTCAATGGCTTGCCAGATTTGCACTTCCTGGATAAACATGCATTGAAACACTGAAAATATGCATTGAATAACTTTCTCCAGATTTTATAGTTCTTCAAATGTTGTGTCACGGTTTTCAGCAGCGAAACTGTTTCGAAACACATTTTAAAATGTACAGTATTTCTAAAATATTTTTTTTTAAATTGATGTGAGGCAAAAGTAAAATGTAGTGCAAAATGATCTTTAATCATTCCATATGATCTTTTAAGCCAATCTATATTAATGTCAGGTTGAATTAACAAGGAATACTCTTGTGATGTTTTAAGGCTGGTTTTTGTTATTTCTCCAACCACAGAAACGCCTGTGGGGGCAAAAAAAAATATGGTTACAATTTATGCACACACCGTTGGGCAGAAAACTGTTTTAAGAGTGAACTTTCTATTGTGTAAACTTAGACTGCATATTTCTTTGCTGCTTCAATGGATCATCTTGATTTAAGGATGGAATCAACCTCCTTTGGCCTGTACATAGTTTTTCCATTGGAGTAGCTAAATTTGGCCTGAACTGTATCTTTTTTTTTTTCCTTTTCTCACCCTACCTCAGTTGCCTCCTTAATGCTGTGTTCGATGGTATAAATTGAGAACATGAGAAATTGCTTCATTCTGGCAGGACCAAGAAATATTTCCTCCTTCCCTACCCCCAAAGAGGCCAAAGGCCAACTTGGACCCATTAGCTCCCACAAACCAAAAGATTCCCTTTAAAGATTAATCCAAATTCTGTGTAGGGAGTTGCCCAGTACACCCCATTGTGGGGTGGGAATGGCTTTTTTTATTTTATTTACAGAATGTAGAAAGAATTTTAACTGGGCATGCTTTTAGATCATATAAATATGTATACCATGTATATATGTGTGTATATATTAATAGGAAAAATAGGAAAATGTGGAATGGGAAAAAGTATGATGATTTTTTTATTGCTGTATTATAATGCTGTTCATGGGAGATGGTGATTATTTTTGTGTGCTTTGTTGTCATTTCTGATATAAAAGGAAATGCATTGGGAATGTTTTCTGCCCATGAGTTGATACTTCTATTGAGAAAGCCTCTGCCGTTTTTACCAAGTGCCTGAAACCTTCCCAGTCCTTCTTTGAGGCAAAGGAATGAAATAATCCACACAGTATTGGTCAGGGCCAGTGTTACTAGCCACATTGGCTAAGAGTTAACATGAGACTAAGTCAGTGGTCTCATTCCACAGAAAAACTCATTTTTTTCATCTGCATCAAATATACAAAGCCCCAAATTGTTCCGTGGAAGAGAAATAACTTCTTTCTCTTCTTTCTACTTTCCTTTTTCACATATTTGTGCTTTTATTCCCTTTTCCCTTCTCCACTGCTTTCTGTCCCCACTGGAGACTGGTTCTCATACCAAACCACCCCATCATAATCTTTTAAGGTAACAGCAAACAAGCCCCTTTTTAAACAGCTGCTTGAGCGACGCCTCTCTCACTTTCTCCACAGAGTTTCTTCCCACATCCTGTTTCATTTCTTGAATTAGGAAGGCTAACGGTTCAGTGCCAGCGAGCCAGTTTTGATTCTAACAAGAGTATTTGAAAACTCAGCACTTCACTGGGATTGTTTCTCAGTGCCAGTTTGAGGGCTCCAAAGAGCTACACAAATCTCCATCTAGATATTTCAAGGAACCGAGATAGGTTGGCTACTACACCATGCTCCTGGAGTTTCTGAAGTGGCTGAATAAGATGCCACATCCCCATCTTCTCACATTATTCATGTTACTAGTTCTCCTCCCCGTGAATGGAGAAATGATTCCCCATTCAGGTTTTTCAGGCTGTCTCTCTTTCTCTCTCTCTCTCTCTGAAGACCACAAGCTGAATCTTTAATCATGAAGGAGAGTGTGTGATAAAATTGCCAATTGAAAGTGCCTTCTTGTGGGAGTCAAAACTGTAAAATAATATCTGAAGAAAAAAAAATACAAAACTGTAAAAAACAGTCTCTGTCTTTTTGTGTAACAGAAAGTGAAAGCTGCGTGGGTAGAGGGAAAGCAATTGCTTGTATTTATCCAGCCTTGTTTATGTAAAGGGAGTGTCTCCAATTTTGCGTCACCTCATTTACTCTAGGTCAGTAGTTCTCCTTGTCAGATAGAATCTCTGGGAAAAGAGACTTATAATGGCATGATAATGCAGCTTATTTTTTTTATCGGCCTTAAAACAGACGTGTTAAATTTTAAAAGGCTTGACTATGTTATTTTATTAAACCTCTCCAAGGTTTTAGAAGAGAGTTTTCTATGTGAGAACTCCAGCTCTGTTGTATAAATCACACCATTGTCATGTTTCCTGCTACCCATGGGAGAAAAAAAAAAGTTTTTAAGGTAGCTTTTGGAGGTAAAAAGTATCCTGCCCAGTACAAATGGTTTTTTGAAAGGTTTGAATACTTGTCTTCATTGGATCATTGGTCTGTTTTTTGAAGCAAATTAGAGAAAGAGGGAATGATAGACCTACTGGTAGTCCTTGACTTACAACAGTTCATTTAGTGACAGTTCAAGGTTACAAAAAACAGCACTGAAAACATTAACTTGTAATTGTTTTTTACAATTACAACCTTTGAAGCATCCCCGTGACCATGTGATTAAAATTCAGATGCTTAGCAGCTGATTCATATTTTTAACCATTGCTGTGTTCCAAGGTTGCTTGTCAGAAAGCCCTTTTGCCACCTTGTGACAAGCAAAGCCAGTGAGGAAGCCAGATTCACATAACAACAATACTAACTTATCAAGTCACTTAACAACCGTGGCAAGGAAGGTTGTAAAAATGGGGCAAAACTCACTTAACAAATACCTCACTTAACAACAGACATTTTGGACTCAATTGTGGTCATAACTTGAGGACTACCTGTAGATGATGATTTTAGTGCTTAGAAAGAGGTTCTTTTTTCAATATAGCAGGCAAAGCCAAGCCATTAGACATTTTCCACGATTTTATTCCTGTGTTCTTTATTTAGAACCCCTTGAGGAAAACAATGAGCACTGTTAGTTTGAATAACTTAGATTGTGTGTCCTAATTGGAGAGCTGGAAATATTACAGAGAAGAGAAGGCATCATCACCGTTATGAGCAAATAGTCAAAGTAAGGGTGAGGAATGGGTGTGTAACCCTCTACATGTTGGAAGACAAATTCCGTTATTTGGAGGGTCACAGACACCCAGATCTGGATTTAAGGAAATGGACAAATTTATGGGGAGGGGTCAGTTAGTGGTTTTGGCCGTGAAGACTGTATTCTTCTTTAAGAGGCAGTATAATCCTTGAGAAGAAATGCTAAGATAAATTAGAATGTCCTTGCAGGTGTCTGTGTTTGTGAGCTTTTTAAGCTGGTTGGGTGGACACTGTTGGAAACAAAAGATTTTATTAGAACTGCAGTAAACAATCAAATGGTGTTTATGTATTTGGGATGCCACAGTTCCATTAAGTTCTGGCCAGTATTACCAATGGTAAAGAATGATGTTAGTAACAGTCCTACATCTGGAGAGCATCAGAGTGGAGAAGCGTAGAATAAAATCCCAGCTTTCCCTAGTTCCGGGCCGCGAGTCCATTTCTTTTATTAAAAAGGAGGAACGAAGGACCCATCTAAAAGCCTTCTGTATCTTGGACTTCTGAATAACCTTCAAAGGAGGAGATTTCAGTATTGTAAAGGAAAGCAAGCCTCGTGAACAGAATTGAACTGCACAAGAGCCCAAGAAAGATAATATCATTATTATTGTAAATAGTTTTGCTACTAGTTGGAATGATGTTGGGGGAAAGGGGCATCCGGCCATTTTGCACACAATAGATCTCCCCTCTCTCAACTACAGTTTCGTGCCAGTCTTTCATCACCTATGAGGCTCCTCCTCTAGATACCTTTGTCCTTTCTGACTCTGTTGCCATCACACCATATATCTTGCATGTAATGTTCCTTGTATAGGCTTGCAAAAGCAAACAAACAAAGCTAGAGGTTAATTGCTCTCCCTCACAAGCTAACCTCTTTCCAAACCCTTGCAAGGTTACTTTTAAATGATCAGAACTACAGAAGGTGGCACAACCTTACTTTTACAATGTCAGTGTGGTTCAGTGGTCGTTAGGGAAAATTGTTCACTTTCCGGAGAGGAATTGGGCTGCTCCAGATCAATAATCTACTATTGTGAAGTCAGGAGACTCTGAGTTCTAGTCTTGCCTTGGGCACAAAGCCAGCTGAGTGACCTCTTGGGTCAGTCACTTTCTGTCAGTCCTAGAAAGAAGCCACTTCTGAAACCTTACCAAGAAAATTGCAAAAGACTTGTCCAGGAGCCAAAAGTCACTCAAAGACATCGAAAAGACATCCAGTTGCTGCTTTCAGATATGCATGCGTGGCCGTTACTTGAATTAAATCGAGTCATTTTGTCACCGGATTCTGGGTCATTCCTAAACACATGTACTATAGAGTTCTAAAAGTTTTATCCATCCATCCCTCTTTTTTTTTTCTTATAACACACTGTTGGGGCAGGGGGAGAGAAGTTGGTTTTGCTTTTTAAAGCGCAACTACACTTCTCCAAATTAAATCACCCCTCTAAAAATGGGGATTTGCCTTTCCCCTCCCAGTTGTATTTCTCAATGTATTCTGAAGCTTCATCTATTAATTGTTTACTCATCCATTCCTCCACAGGGATCTAACCAGGAACCAGTGGTGTAGTAACATGATTTTAGAATCCAGATGTAAATGATTTCCAAGCAGTTGCAGTTTGACTACTGTGGGTATCATTGGAACCAAGCATTGCAGAGAGTCATTATATAATTTTAAAACAATTAAATGAACATCTATAAATTTGTCCATGTTCAGCTGCTTCCTTTCTGATTTTAACTATTAAAAAAAACAAGGAAAGAATAATGTGAGGAACAGCAGTAATATGTATGTTACCTCAAGAATTGATACAGGTTTGTTTGCTGCTACTGCTGGAGTGGAAAATTGTCCCTGGCTCCAAGCAGGCATGTTTGGGGAGGGAGATCTTAACTGCAGGGACACTGTACTGTGATCCAAAATCCAGCCACCGTGAGGAACCCGTCTGAGTCTAGTACTGAAGCCAAATGTGTGTCTTTCTATTATGCGTTTGACCTCAGCCATTCATTCGACTCAGAGGCAGCCCAAAACTCTGTATTCATTGCCTTGTTTGCTTCTCAGCCTCTGATCTGTCTCTGTCCCTCTTTTTATCTATTATTGTCTCACAAACAAACACACACACAAACAGAAAGACACAGACAATCCATTAATGGGCTACTGTCTTCCCTAGCTGTGGCTTGACCATCTTTTGGTAAGTACTAGCTGGAATTCAGCTCATTAGAGACCAAAGTGAAAGGGGTGTGTGTGTGTGTTTGTGCAAAAGCTGGTTGTCTAATGGAGCAGGCATAATCCAACGTTTGGCCACTGGCTTTCCCCCTCCCTTTTTCAGGGTTGCGCTGCGCTCTGTTTCTCTCTCTCTCTCTCTCTCTCTCTCTCTCTCTCTCTCTCTCTCTCT